TATAGTCTTTCAAGTAATTGTAAGTTTCAGATGAAGTATACTATGTCACCTACAATCAAGATACCGGGTTACATCAAGCGTACAAATTTCATCATGCTGAGCCTGCTTACTGTGGTATTGTACGCCTTGTCCATCAGGATAATGTTGAAGAAGGCGCAAGGGTAAGTGTAAAGTTGTCATTGCAGTACTGCAGATCATAATGCAGATAACATATATTTGATATCGTTGCCATCAGTTGGAGTGGTATCAGGAGGGACGGAATACACTCTTCTCCTCCAATCGTTTTCGATTAGTGATCGTTCAGGAAGAAAACAACGAACGGTGGAAACGCCCCGAACGGGCGCATTTCGTGCCTCTGCACCACTCCGATTGCGACGTTATCCACTGCATTTGTGAGCGACCCTGACCACGAGAACGATTTCTTGTAGCATGCATTAATTCAATGGCGCATCGAGAGGAATCCGATTATTGGCGATAAATTCGCCTCTAGACATGGTCAGAAAGGAATCAACTCATTTCTGTGGCCAGTGGAGAATCTCCCATTCAGTGAAAGTGGAATGGTTCCATGTATTATTATCTAATCCTCACGGCTTTCCCAGGTCGTATGACTATCGGCCTGTGAGATTTAGCTCTCGAGCAACGGTTTGCATGAAATTGCAGCTGCTTTTCTTCTTTTAGTCACGTTACGATGACTGATTCACACATAAGTTGGAGGTCTATTACAGGTATGATGATTGAGAGCATGGCAGGCAAGGCTGCGGCCATGCACGGTGATGTGTATGATGCTTCTCCGTTTGTTTTCAAGTAAGTGGTCTTGTTTGTATATTCGGAGGGAGAGCAGTTGTATCCTTCTGAAATTCAGTGAAAAACGAACAGCAATTGACCACTTCGGCGAACTGTTGGCAAAAGCTGGGTATAATTATCATGGGAACGAAACATTCTATTCTGGAGTGGATGGAAGGCAACTTGAGGTGCGTCCATATTACACTTGGTTTGCACGTAGCGTCTGGACAAGCTCCTTTTCAGGTGCAAATATTTTTCGGAATCGTTTATTACCAGCGACTTCGACACATGATCGCTGATAAATTCCAGGTTCGTGTGTATCTTCTTTTGTCTTTGTATTTCAATGTTGATGTTCACAGCCAGATCTCTCTCATGAATGACATGAAATTTAAAGATTAACTGTACTCTCATCTCTGCGGATTCTTGTTTTTGCCGCATGGTTAGAGAAAATGGGTCCGGCAGTAACAGAATGGAAATGAGTCCGCAGTGGTGCTCTTTTCCTTGGTAAAAGGTGCACGGGAACGGGCTGGAGTGTAGAGATAGCCGGGTGCCGTCTCCATACACTGTGTTGCACCCCAGCCATACTACAATCACAACCAAACGCGCTACGCGCTGTCTGCGAACTTTTTTCTGTGTTCTCTATTCGCGGTGGGATACAGGACCTTTGCTCGCACAAGCGCTGCATCTCAGCGAGTATGAAGGGCCGTATTCGGGTTAGCTCTACAAAGCAAAAAACAGCACCTCTGGGCGCAGAACGTGATTCGTTACTGCAGGTCATTGTTATGCTTCGCGCATAGCAATGACCGTTCTCGGAGGTGAGTTTACAGTCTGTCTCTTATAAGTTCTCCTACGACAATCCACGTGGCTGATTTCGTTGTTCTCACTAGGTCATGAGCGACCACTTCCTCAGTCGCTGCTTTTTTACGCTTTCACATTCTAGTAAATTCCATTCTCCTTTCGAGAAAGGCGCTAGAAAAATGGGATTGTGTGTTTTTGTTATTCCATATGCACTCCAAGTTCTCGATGATAAATACACTCTAGTTCGCTGCGGACGGTTGGGCGTGTCAGGCAGTATGAGTGTGTCACCCCGTCAAAGCCGTTCTCTGCCTTCTTGTTGAAGCGCGCATGCGACAAAAAGTGGTAGAAAACGAGTAATACGAACGATATGATACAGTCATATCATTGCTCGCTTTAATCTTAAACCGTGGCACCGCGCCAAATCATCCTGTCTGACACGCCCAACCGTCCGCAGCGCACTACACTAGAAAGTTATTCGATCTGATTCTTTTGATTACTAGAATGGACTGGAAACGGTGCTCGAGAATAGCTTGACCACTTAGGCTTGAAAATCACACTCAACTGGCGCGACTTTTACTCCGATTGCATCATGAAGATCTTGTCACTTACGTGAGTGGATGGCTCTGAGAAGTTCAATGCCTGTCAGTACGATGGTGTTATAATGTTGGTGGGCAGATGACATGCATACTTCTTACTGTCGAGGGTTTGACAGGATAAAAACTGGCACCAGAACTCTCTAGCCTGCACCACTACTACCACTACCTGCTTGATCCTGAGGCACAAGTTGGCGGTAGACTAGGGAATGTTGTCCTTATTCTTGAAGTTGAATAATAAGATTTTATCTGAAATCTTGCACTTGTAATTACATAACGTCTACATACTTTTTGTCGAGCGTTCTATGTTTATTGTTTTCTAAAAGGCCCATATTATAGGTGCGGTCAACAGGCCCCATTGACCCAATTACGCACCAGCCTGTGAAAGGACGTAAGAAAGGTGGTGGTATTCGATTTGGAGAAATGGAAAGAGATGCTATAATTGCCCACGGAACGGCTTTTGTTTTACAGGTTTGCGGGCTTTCTTGCTTTTGCTTTGTTCTACAACTTGAATTTGAAAATTACTGGATGATTCTGCTTTCAAGGACCGATTGCTAAACTGCTCCGACCGCGATGTTGCATATGCATGTCGTCGCTGTGGTTCTTTATTGTCAGTACTCATGGATACGAAAGCTGCAGCTGTTAAATCTCGAAGAGTACGTTCGTGAGAAGAGATTGATGATCTTCTGATCTGCGTTCTGACTTCGCGACTATGTGTTTCACCTCGCGTTGATGCGCAGCCGTTGCAGTCGCGCTTTAATGCCACCAATCAGTAGACCGCTCCACCAGCTTACCAGTTTTTCTTCGGTCAGCCTCTTTTTCTTCTTAGAAATTTTTATCATTGAATTCCCTGTTTTTCAATTCCAAAACCATGGGTTAATCCAAACGTTCAAACACGGGTTCTAGCACACAGTCTGATCCGGTAGGACACAATTGGGTTACTAGTTTTCGGTCCCCCCCCCGAATTAGAACTGGCGGCGAAAAAAAAATCAGCTAGGTATCAATGAGATAATCATCGATTAAATCGGTCATTGATCGTGATCATCAAAAAGTGGAAAAAGGTTGCAGGAAAAATGCGTCGCAGCTGTTTGTTACGCACAGTTTACTCTGGTGATTTTTTTATCGTTTGCCCTCTTTGCCCTCCTGTAGTGCAACAACGTCATTGCAAAGTTTGAACACACAAGGGAAGGATACCAACTCGCCATGGCCGTTCAGGATGATATGTATGCTACTAAATGTTGAATTGGAACAAGACTCAGTCCTCTTGAAACAAAGATACCCCTCGCTTCTCTTATCTAGGTGCTTCCAAAGTACTATTCAAGTCAGCGATCTACCAAGCAGTAAAGTTGTAGCGCCACTGTAACTATAGCGCGATTGCAAAGTCTGAACTCACAAACAGCCAGAGCGCTCTATATGAACTCGGGCCTGCGATTTTTCTTCTACTAGACCGGTTGACATTTAATTTCAAAGTTGGTGCCTCTATTCACTTCCTCTTATCGTTGAACAATATTATCGCTGATGAATGATTGCGGTGGAGTGGTTCGACGCGTACCGCGCAAATCAACAGTTCCCGGGCCTGCGAGTGGGAGGTGATTTTGACCAATCTCCTCACAACGTTGTCGCACGGCAACCGATTAACTTGCATGATGTTAGGCAGGGACAAACTTCGGACACATTGTTTAATGAGCTAGGAATATTCGAGTATTTAGGGAGCAATTTCTGCCGATGATTACACTGAGAAGCAAATGTGCAGAAATTGTGGGAAAGAAGATGAAGTCTATCTTGTGCAGGTGAGTTTCTACGTTCAATGTTTGATATTGTCTATAATTAACCATTACAGGTACCGCGTGTGTTTCGGTATTTGACGGCGGAGTTAGCCGCAATGAACATTAAAATTCACCTTGGAATCACAGATTTCGCCAAAGTTGCGAGAGCCTAGTTTCGGCACCGAATTGTTCC